ATACGTACCATTTCTGGACCATAAGCTTCTGTACGCATAGGAGCGCCTCATATCTCACGTTCGGGTCCTCGTGGGTCAGGAGCTGCATAACTAAGTGCTTTCCGCCCAAGTTTTCCGTAACACTACATTCAAAACACATAAAAAGTGATAATTAATCGTCAATTTGGCGTAAAAACAAAACATTAATCAAAAATCTAACGGCGCTTCACAGCTCAGACTCATTAAATCAGTCGAGAAAACCTTCAGATATGAAACATCAGGTTCTAAATGATGTCATCATTGCATCCAAACAACACAAATATATTACAAATTCACACCAAATCTATAATTAAACTACAAATCATACCAAATGCACGAAAACCACAAACAAAACAATTAAACCCCCAAAAAACACCTACACTTTGCCTCTGCCGTAGTGTCGGACGTACTCTCCCAAGTCATGGGAGGCCACGGACAGCACCAGTGGATCCTTACTGGTCTCCAGGAGTCGCACCAGTATTTTCAACAACTCGTAGTTCTTCTCATTGAGACGACTGGCGTTTTCTCGCCAAAACTTGTCGCTCGAGTGGACGGGCGACCACTCGAGGCGCCCGGACTTCACTTCCGTGGCGTACTCGTCAAACGAGGACAAGTCCTGTACGGACGCCAGGAGTTTCTCAGTCAGGAAGTCGATGTCCTCTTTGATGTCCACGTCGTCAAACTTCTGACCCGATTGTTGTAATATTTCTAATTGTTTTAACACCTATTCGTAAATACAGTGAAAAACACACATTAATTATTCAATTAATTTCGCGAAATAATCAAAACATTCAGACAATCAATGCGTTCACCGGCAGCTCAGACTCATTAAATCAGTTCTCAATAGCCCTCAGCGTTCAGCTCAGGTATGAGTATATAGTCATCATTGCGTTCATTATATTAATCAATAAAATAATCGATAATTTTGTTTAAAATACAATAATTCACCTAAAAATATGCACTTAATTCGTGGCACATATGAAACTAACTATAAAACTATAGCTAAACTATAAAAACTCTTTACATATACAGAATTTAAATACAAATCTAAATTTAATTGCTTTTTAATGAGTGGTAATGATAGGGTGAGCACCGGGTGCGCGCACATACCTTGCACTGAACCATTGTAATAGCGTTATCGCGTATAATCTCAGCGTCGGTCGGCTTTTCAATCAAATTCTGTTCAAAAAACAAACAAAACATCAGAAAAATTTAAACAAAAACATTATAAAACAAATAATTAAAACACAATCAAGAGCTCAGACTCATTAAATCAGTTCTCATAGCCTTCACGTTTAGGTCAGGTATGATAGGGTAGTCATCATAGCAAAGGAAAGCCGTGTATTCAACAGAGAAATACATGTATTGAGACAAATGTCTCGAAAAACACCATTTATAAAAAAAACTAAATCTCAATTTAAAACAAACAAATGGGAACTGCATTCAAAGTGGACAGCCATACCCTGAACGTGGCCAAAGTCATGCGCGTGACCTTCTCCTTGACCGCTTCGGACAGTATGTCT